CTTTGAAGGAGGAGAAAGGCAAATTATACTTATTTATCCTGCTTGGTAACAAAGAATCAGTGAATTGCTGTGTGGTTATCTTTGCAATTATGGCTAAGATTACCTTTTTGAAACTAGTAGTAAGATTGTCAGAGATTTTGGGAAGAGATTTGACACATATAGCAAGTAAAAGCTTCGCTTACATTGCTAAGCCTTATCTCTGTGAGCTTAATCTTTCTGGTAGCACTAATATGCAACTGTTTTTGAGTATAGGATGCAAGAACTGTGAAGGTGCTTATTGGAAATGCATTCATGTGATCACTGACATTTCTACGTATGTCTTGTATAAATAATATTTTGTAATGCAGGCATTCTCAGAAGCCTATTCTATTTTGGAGGATGAGCTTAGCTGCCTATCAAGTAACACCGATTCATCTTGTAACCCACCATGTAGACTGCTTCAAAAAATCATCCCAAGTATCACTTTATCATAGTGGCTTAGTTTGAGGAATCTTCACTTAAAGGTATTCATTTACCCAATGATATTATTGCTTAGTTAGAAAGATTAAATTTAGGATTGTCAGAAATATTCTTATGGTGACATTATTGATATAAAGCTGAAGTCCTCACCCCAATGGGAGCATTGGGTCTTGATTATTTACCGAAACTCCCTTGGGAATATGCTCCATGTTGACCATTTTTCTGTTATGCCAACCCATAGCTTGGCTCAGAGGTATGGAAATGTTTCATGGAGAATTTTATTTTGATTTCTGATCTTTTTTCCTTTGTATTAGTTATTTTGACTTCTAACAATTCTAGATTCTTTAAGTAGTTTGTGGTGTTTGTGGCCAGATATTAAGCCTCAATCAACTTCTGGTGTGATGCACAGCCAATCTTGCAATTGATCCTTCCAAGTAAAAGATGCTCCGGTTGAGTTCAATATTGATTGTGCTACTTTTTGATTTGAAGTAAAACTGAACGGGTGAATATGTAAGTAGTCACAATTCTTTTATATACCTTCTACAAAAAAAAAAGAAAAAAAAGAGATGGTGAAAATCTAAATCTGATGGTACATCATGCGGTCAATTTTGAAATTTATGGTTTTGGTGGCAATTCTAAGTTCAATTCTAGTATCACTCTGTTGTATTATTTGGTGCTCAGTTTTATTTTTTTATCTAATAATTGTAAAATTGTGTTATTTTTGCTTTTGTATTTCAGGATGTTAAACGGAATGTTGTGTGAAGTTACTTTGGAGCTGAGTTGACTGTGGTGCCATTGGCCACAGTTAGCATCTGAACTACGGCCTGCAAAGTGAACAAAACCTTGTTCATTCTATCAGGTGCTGTTATGGGTACGAAGGTACTCAGTCTGGCAGGCTATTTTCTTCATGAAATGAATCTTTGAAGATACGGATATTGACATGGTGAAGCCACCTATAAGAGACTGGTTACCAACAATGAATGACCCTCCCAGAAAAATTAGCAGAGCGCAACGACTAGAAGCAACAGAACTGATGCAAGAGCCTCAGAGAATTGACTAATGGCATTAACAATGAGATGGGAAATTGTGCGAGTTGTGTTGTCAGCCGAGACTGATTGGTGGCAATCGACAAAGAAGGCCAGCATAAAGCAATATTTAGCAGGTCCAGAAACGGAGTCTGGTGGTGGTGAGCTCTGGCAGTGTGCCAGTTTAGTAGGAATGTGCGCTGTATGACGGGGAGGCTCATATTCAGCGGTTTAGTAGGAATTTTTGGCCCAGAGATTGCAAATGGGCAGTCCTGGACTCTTGGTCTGCATATTGGTTTTCAAGGCAACCTAGATTGACTTTTTTTTTTTAAAGTTTTAAAGGTTGCAAATACTAAAATAATGAATTTTTCATTAAACCTAACACTTGAATAAGTATTTTCTCTTAAGTAAGTTCTTGAAATACCTTTAAAGACAAGTCTTTTAATGTATATTTATGGTAATAGCAGACATTGTAAGGAATCAGAATCATTCCCTATTCTCTCTTTGCTTATTTTACCTTGACATCCTTTTACTCGTATTTGTCACAGCCCCCACCGATCCAAACAGCGCGGCATCCTAGGAGGAGCCATATCTCACTTATCGTTGCAATTCTCCACCTTGATTGACCCATTATCTCTTGTAAAGCATTTCCCATTGAGCCTTGATCTAAGGGTGTTTTTGCATGAATGGCTTTTAATACAATGACCAACGACTATGCTTAGGAATACTCTCATCTCAACGACTCTTATTATACCTTTTCTAACTCTTCACTTCACGCCAATCATAGCTCTTCGATATTCTTACTCATTTGCTATTAAAACTAATTCATCCACCCTTTCTCCTCCTTCATTACCATTCTTTTTTACAATACCAGGGACTCCATCATCATCCGATTCTAAGGATATGTCACTACTCCGTCTAACACTTACTATCAGTGTCATAATAATATTTTAATTGAATGATATGTTTGTAATTTTTTAGAAAAAAACTGACATGTTTGTTACTAAACACATAATTGAGTGACCTTGAGTGTATTTTACCCTTACGTAAATTTGGACCCGTTGATTCTTTGCTTAAAATCCAACCCAACTCAAAGAGACAAAAGTCTGGTCAGGCCTGGTGTCCATGGTAGCCCGTGTTACATTACAAACCAACGCCCGGCCTCACATCCAATCTGTTCTGATTCAGATTCCTTTGCCCGTCCACCTTCCTAAATATCAACAAGTGTTTGATTAGAGGCGACTTTACAAGAGTTTTCCTTGTCGGGTTTGTCCCCATTTCAGCAAAGCAATATCTTTCCCTGGAAACAAGGTAAATCAGGATTAAATTGTACTAACTAAATGAGCTTTAATACTTACCAGTTGTCAACCCTAATATGTAAATTTTGGGTTTTTATTCAACTCATTATCTATTATATCACTTTGCATGCTGAATTCTGGATTTAACTTTGTGATGTAAGTGTGGTTTGTTTTATTCGGTGATATGGGTGCTTTTTTGGTTTAACTCTTGAATTTGAAGTACTTTCTTATTGGTGTTTATGAAATCTGTGGAGGGCCCAATTTTAAAATTGTTCATAAAAAAAGAATGAATGAATTGTTTGTAGGTTTTCGGTAAGTTTAGTTACATTTCGATATGCTGCTGGGTTTGAGCTTTGAGTTTGCTGAGAAGATATTGCTTTGCTATACTTGTAATTAGCTTTTAGATGTTACAAAGAGCTTCTTCAGTGTATATGTCGACACTTCGACCGAAGTTTGTGTCTAATTAGTGTGATTTCTATAATTACTTGAACGTTTAAGACATGTTTTGCTGCACTTTCATTGGCATAAATCTTTGTATTTGCGTGAACATAGAAATTTTGGAATACTCTGGGAGTAGTTAGGGCAAACCATGAATTTGCTGAAAATATCTGAATCTACAATAAGAATTTTAGTGGGAAACAAATAATCCCATGCTGTTAAATTGTTCGTCCTCAAGTTTTTCTACTAACAATCATATATATCTGTTTCAGAGAAATGAAAATTGTGTCATCCTGTCAAGGTTGCTGAAGATATCTGTTATGAACCTAGGAATGGCTTCTCTAGCTGAAGCTCCTTCTACCAGCTTCATCACTAAAATTCCTCAGGTTCGTTCCAAATGCTCACTATTGTTAAAAGCTTCAAACATGCCTTATAGGCTCCCCTTCCGTCATATCCACTTCAGACGACCCCCTGTTTGCTGTACGAAGTTTCCTCAGTGGGAACCTTCACCTATCACATACGCTCTAACTGAGAATTCTGGTGAAAACTTCTTGGATAAATCATCTGAATTATTTGAAACTCTGCGTCCTGAAAGCAATGACGAGGCTTTAGTGACTAAAGCTAAAGATCTCACAGATACGGTCAATCAGTCTGTTGCACAGTTTCAGTTTCTTAAATGGCCATTGTGGCTGCTCGGGCCTTCTCTTCTCCTCGGCACAGGCATGGTACCAACTCTGTGGTTGCCAATATCCACCATATTCATTGGCCCAAATGTGGTAAGCCTTCTTTCCTTGATTGGACTTGATTGCATCTTCAATCTGGGTTGCGTCCTTTTTCTCCTTATGGCAGATTATTGTGCCAAGTCAATGAACATGACACAAGCTTCCAAGAGCAAACCTCCCTTGAGTTACCAGTTCTGGAATTTGGTTGCGACTTTGACCGGACTCGCGATCCCCTTAATGATACTATTTGGATCCCATAAGGGCTACCTCCAACCACAGCTACCTTTCATCCCATATGCAGTTCTATTGGGTCCCTACATTCTGCTTCTAGCAGTACAAATGTTGACCGAGATGTTGACATGGCATTGGGAGTCACCGGTCTGGTTGGTGACCCCAGTTGTGTACGAGGCTTACCGTGTGCTGCAGCTAATGAGGGGGTTGAAACTTGGGGTTGAACTCAGTGCACCGGCATGGATGATGCACACTATCAGGGGCTTGGTCTGTTGGTGGGTACTGATTCTTGGTGTGCAACTCATGAGGGTTGCTTGGTTTGCTGGTTTTACAACTCGAGCTCAGCGACAACAGTCTTCTGCTTCTGCTGATGCTTGATACTAATAGCCACTGGTGTCTGAAACTGAAATAAGTCATATAGCTTGATATATCAAATAACATGTATACATTTTGTTTGTTGTACATCATTAAGCAGTTAGTTAACATACATGTAAGAAATGTTGTTTCAAATGATTTGAAATTCGGTTTTACGTGGATTTAATGATGCCTCAGTGCTTGTATTTTGAACTTTTATAATTTTGTCCCGTGGTTGATTTAATTTAAAATCAGGTTCAAATGGTAACGTTGTTAATGGACTTAAAAAATTGAAATTCAAATGTCTCATTCAACTAAAAGTGTTTCCAATTGGACTTTAATTTAAGCCAGACAGCATTGGGAGACTATCCTTAAAATTAAAAGTAGAAAGGCTAAAATTTAAAAGTCTGAAGAGTATAGTGACCAGACTGACATAAATAAACCTTTTACATCAGATAAACTTTCAGATTAAAGAAGTGTTTGTGAGTGCATTTTACTCTAAAGTCCATCGCCCAGGCCTCTTCCCTTGCTTGAGAAGGACCGGAGGAAGGCTCATCCCCTAGGGCTTCTGTTCCGGACAATGATAACCTGAATGCTGCAGAGTGCAGACTGTGCGAGTATTCAATACATTGTGTTTGATGAACTTAAAAGACTGATGCTTCACTGTGGCAATACTTCTATTTGCAGGCAAAGTCTCTCATTTGGAAGCTAACTGACGAGAAAAACTCTGCCATTCAGCAAAATAACAAGCTGCAGCAAGAACTAGTAAGTTGGTATTTATCGAGGTTTATGGATGGCTTGGAATGAAATGGGATTTTAAAAAGGAATGATAGAAGAGGATGCTGATATTAATTTGATTTGCAGGAACTCTTGAGACGTGAAGCCAAAAGAGATAACAGTGGTATTCCGTTAACGTATGCACTCCCTGTTGGCTCGGTTGGCATCATTTTGGGGGTACATCTTATAACTATATAAAAGCTTGAATCCGGTTTACGAATTTTCAGGTGTTTTTAACATGTTGCATCTGCTGACAATCTTCCGGAAATCATCCAGATTTAGCTGCAGCACAACCAGTGAGAAAGGTAAGTAAATTCTTTAAACTCGGATACATTCTGAAGTCATGCATTGGCTAGTAGGTTGCCCATCCATGACATGCTTAAGAATATAGTAATGATTATGGTTCAAAAGAAAATTGTTGAAAGGCCAACATCTGGGGATAACTCTAGGATGAAAATACAAGAATCTAAACAGCTACTCATGCCAAGTATATGCTAACACTGACAAAGATGATTAATGCTATTAAAATATATTGATTCTGGCTAGGCTAGCATAGGAATGAATTTTACCTCTATGTTTTTCTTTTATTCACATAATACATATCAAAAGAAGGTGAACTACAAACAAAGAATGGCTCATTGACTTTCTGTTATATATCAGTTGTTTAAATATTTTTATCTATTGGGGAAAAAAAGACTACTAACTAAAAGAATGTACTGACCCTCCCATCGCCATCGGTGTCAAAGCAATGGATCATGTCAGTCAACTCCTTATCTGTCCACATAAAATCATGGGCGATAGCTACTCTTCGTAAATCTCTCATAGAAATGCTTCCTTTTCCAGGTTCTGATAGCCAACAATGCTTTTAATCATTGACTGAAAACATATTCAAGAATTGAGAGAATACCAATAACAAAACTAATATTATACACAGATGATGCGTTCAGCATTGGATTTCTGATTCTTATTCGACTGAGAGGATACATGCAATATAAGTAAACGGACCAAAATCCTACTAAGCTAACCACCCCAATTTCTTCTAGGGTGCAATGATGATGTTAAATAATACGTGTTCCTGAGATATAACAGATTCTTGATGATTTGAGGAACTACTTTCATCAGCAAAATGAGGACACGAAGAACAGCTTATAGCATCTCAAATGAGATTCTTCTCGCCAATACAACTTTAGATATGCAAGAGCAATGCTAATGCAAAACCCACATGGTTCATAGTTTTTAAGCTTTCTAATAGTAATAATCTTACTTTGTTGACAGTGTACACCTTCATAAGAAAGAGAGAGTAGAATCAGAAATTACCATCGAACTGAAAGAAGTGCACGACCATTTCATCCTCTGTCATCTGCGTGCGACTGGTGAACTGTGATCCACATATGAAACCAAGTGAATACAAATTGAGAGGAAGGGGAAGCAAATAGTGCAATCCTTGAAATCCACACACACTAATATGGAGCAGAACAAACCGATTTTTTCCTCTTCGATCGAGCATTCCCCTTTCTTTCAGTGGAAGTAGCATCTTGCACATCTGTAGGTACAGCACCTAAAACTTCTCCAGAATCTTTCAGGGACAGAGCAACTGCCTGAAAATGACTCCCAAAACGTTTAGCCTCGCAATAAAACCGGACATTTATAATAATGGAAGATACTCTCTACTAAACACATTAGTCATTGAAACTGACCTTCATTAATTCATTATCATTATCAACATAATCCGAACTATTCAATTGTTTTTTAACATCAGCTTTCTTAGGTTTTGAGCCTTTATTTTTCACCTGGAAAAGGAGAAAATCAAAGAAGCATAAGCCAAGCTGTAAGGCGAGGTCCAAGAAGTATAGCCTTTATACACAATAAAGCAATCAACTTTATCATCTTATTTCATAAAAAAAAAATCGAGCACCGAAGAAGTCTTGGAAAAATATCCCTTTTAGGAACGAATCGTTTCTGTGAATTATTTTACCTTGTTTTTACGAGACTGAAACCGAGGAGTTTTTCTACCCAGAAATTCCACATTATCATAATCATTTTCGTCGTCATCGTCGTCTTTGTCATCCTCCTCATCATTGGGCCTGTAATCTTCATCGTCATCGATGACCTTGTGTTTCCCTTTAATCTTAATCGAAGTCGGACTTGAATTTGGCGACGAACCCATCAAAGAAGAAGCAATTTTGGTGAGGCCCAAAGCCTCCATTCTGGCTCTGTTCTCTGCAATTCTCGATAACCTCAGCTTCTCGTATTCGGATATACCTTGCTGGTCTTGCTCGAGGATTACTTCATCATCATCTTCTTTTTCTTCGCTTAACTTCTCCTCACTTTGACTTTCACTTTCTTCTGATACAGAATTAGAGACATGGCGTCTCTGCATTGCGTCTTCTAATTTCCGATAGATTTCTTGCGCGACTTTGTTGAAGAACGGGAACAAGTTTTCGTTCGCAAATGTTTCCTTCCTTCCCTTTGCCTTTCGCACCTCCGCCTGTTTTATAAATAGGGCTGTAAATGAATGGGCTTTGATCTAAATATTCATTTTAATTTTTTTCCGACAAATATTTAATAATGTTGATTTCAATAAATTCTGTAAAAAAAATAAATTTTAGAAGAATACAAAATAATAAAATACGAACATTTTAATATTAATATTATCAAAATAGAACGATCAGTTTTAATTATGATCAGAAAAGTATAATACTAAAAATAAAGTTATTTAAAAATTTATTAATAAAATTAATATTTTAGAAGTTTTATATCTTAGACGATGTTATTTTGGATATCAATATAACATATTTAAGTTATAATCAAAATTAAATATTATTTAATTTAACAACTTTGTTTATGTCAACACAGTGATTAAAAAAACTGTTCACGTTATCGTGTTGTTAAAATTAAACAGTCTAATGGCATATTTTATATTTAAATTAAAATTAAAATTTAATATTATAATCGGAAAAAAAGTAAAAGTTTAACGTTATAAAAGATTAACGAACGTCATATTGTAGTATATTTTAAATATGCAGGCCAACTTATAAACGTGTATGTGTACATCATCATTGTATCTATTGCAATAAAAAGTAACTTTCTTAAATTTTGCTAGTTTGGATCTAAGTCGTCTATATTGAAGGTATACACCTTTATAATTGGATAAATTATTTATTTGATAACCTACCTATTACTTAGTTTTTGTTTTAATCACCTAGTTATTATTTTTTTTCAAAATCACATCTAACATTAAGTTTTAGTTTTGTTTTGTTTTGTTTTGGTCATCTATCCTTAAATTATTAAGAGTCATTTTTTATTATTCTTAAAGCTGATATAGCATTACCTTATGTTGACATGTCAGCATCATGTTAATTTTTTAATGATCGGTGACCAAAATAGAATCAAAATGTTAAGTTAGGCATGATTTAAAAAATAATAATGCTAATAGTTAGTGATCAAATTGTAAAACTTCAGAATTTGATGATTAAAATAAAATAGTTGAATAGTTCAAGGATTTATTTGAAGATATTTTATGAATTATTGTAGTAATTATTAAATGAAGTAAAGGGCAAAATGATCATTTGACATGAAAGATTTTTATTTCCTTGTATAAGATAAGGAAGGGAGAAGATTTCTCCAGAAATTTTTTCTTCTTCTTCTTCCTCAAACGTGAGCTACCAAAGGCAAAGGTGAGTTTCTTTGTTAGCTGATTATTTGTTGATTTAAAGAGTGAGTTTTGATCCTTAGGTGATACTTAAGCTTAAGGAAAGCTTTAGTTGTCTTACAATCAAAAGATGAAAAGTTATAAGAGATTAAAGAGAAGGGGTGTTTAAATGAATTTCTGGAAAAGAGTTGATAAGTTGAATTCGAAACTGAATTTGACTTGTTATCAACCTAATTAAGATATATGAAGTGTTAGAACTGGAATTAGAACATGTTGCAAAGTTGGTGTAATTCTGGAATTTTATATGGATGATAGGATTTTGAGGTTTAAGAGGTGATAAATGAGTAGTAATGGATATAAGTATATGGATGTGAGTTAGGAATATGTAAGGGGATGAATATGAAGTTTTTGAGCTAAGTTGAGTAATTTTGGTGTATAAAATGTGAATTATGGGCTGGTGTGTATCGGTACATATTCAACATGTACCGATACATCAAGGGTAAATTTCCAGAAAATAGTCAGAGTGTATCGATACACTTCCTGTGTATCGATACACCCCTTTAAATGAAAACTTCGAATGTAATTTGTGTATTGATACATAGGTAGTGTAACGATACACTCGTTAAGGAATGTACCGATACTTACCTTAAATAAGAATGAAAATAACCTTTCTTTTAGTTTAAGGAATGAAAGGTTAGAGTATACTAATTAAAATATTGATATGTATCAATGTATTATTATGTAGATATAGAACGTAATCCCGTTCCGGAACAATCGAAGAATTAGGATTGAATCAACGCAAGCAAGGTCAAGATGAGTGCATAATATAAGGATAATCTAATGGAAATAAGACTTGCGATGAGTCTATTTCCTAGGTCAATTTCATAGTATAATAATTATGAACATGCATACATTACAGTCTTGATTAAATATACATAAGTCATATAGGTTTATATATGATTTGATACATGTTATATAACTCATGTTATATGATATAAGATGGATGGTTATACGCACATGTGAATGTGATTGAAGAAAAGACATATGTGATCACAAAGGAAATGGCATGAGTACATGTTTATATGAAAAATAATATTAATGCGCCATGTTATGTAATATGAGAGCTCTAGGTATAGTTGGCATGCCAAGAGTTGAGGGTTTTATAGGTCATTCGGGACATATTCACAGGTCCTTCGGGACAAAATTTCATATGCCACTCAATGGGACTTATACGAGCTGTGGTGACAGCAGATGTGTACAACCTCTATGTACTCGAATACCTTATGTTCTCAGTATATAAATGGGCCTATAAATCATATGAAAAATGTGTATTGCCTTATATGTTATAGTATTAGTGTTGTATATATATTGAATCATAGGAAATGATATGGAATTATGATTACTATGTTGCATGTTCATATTCATAAGGAATTCATTATCATTATAAGTTTATGCCTCACTAAGTCTATGACTTAGCGCGTAAGTGATTTACACGTAAGTACAGAAAAGCAAGAATATCGATCTTAAGAGCAGCAAAACAACATATCATCATTTGAAGATCAGATCAGAAGAACCTTACACAGTATGTCTGTTTATGTAATATATGTGTTGGCATATAAATATAGTTGTTTAGTATGTATGCTTTGATCAACTTTAGTAATGTTTTAAACATATATATATGTAAATGGTAACTCTATGGTGATGAAAGTATTAAATTTTATGAGTTTTTATAAGTGGACGAAATTACTGTAGCAAGGGTATCAGTACACTGTAGCAGGTATCGATACCCTTGTAGAATTCTAGAAAATTTTAGCATTCGGTACTGTTCGCGGTACTGTTTATTACTGTTCATAGTATTGTTCATATTGTCTAGTACTATTCATAAAAATGTTTCTTTCCTTAAAATTGTTATAACGAACATATTTCAACGGTATATTATCATATTTTCTTAATATAAGTTCAAACGTTTTATATTTAGTAAGAATATTGTTTTAAAAAGTCAATGTGACATCTCGGACTCGTATTCGGGTCGGGTACGAGTTGGGATGTTACAAATAATTTGGTGAACAAAACATATAGTTTACCCTTTATAATTTGATTTACATAGTTAGTTATGCTTACATCGTATTTGATTCACGTAGTTAATTATGCGACCAAATAGATAGTTTACCCTTGTTAATTTGATTGACGTATTTAGTTATGCTTACATCGTATTTGAAGTGCCTAAATTAACAAATATGCTAACATAAAGGCTTGATTGATACAATACTAATACTTTAAAAATGAAATTAGAATGATTTTAAACGCCCGGAACCCAACTTAGAATCTGTGCAACAGTTTAGGATGTATAGCACAATTAATCCTTTATTTTTCAAAGAACTTGGAAGATACGTAAGTCAATCAAGTAAATTAAACAAATGGGGTAGATCCTTGAGGAAGGGGTTAGGCTCGAACGTTCACTATAAATGATGGAGAATAAAAGCCTTGGAACTGCATAATCAGCTTGCTCCTAAACTTGTGGGTTCAGTGAAAGTGAAGAAAGCCGATCAACCATAAAAATGAGTACGAAGAGAGGTACAACGTTTCTATTGGGGGTGATGTTCGGGGCGTTTGTAACCGGAGGATTCCAACGCCGCCAGAATCTTAAGGAAACCAGTGGAGGCAACTGGCGATGTCGTCGGAGCAAAGCAACTGAAAAGGAACCCGGTGAGGCCAACCCAGGACCGGAAGTGGAGCAGCAAACTAAACAGGTTGTTGTCACATCGTGAATGAAGAAATGGGTGTTGTTTTGGTTCGTATATGGTGATCTTATGTTCGAAAAGAGTATATGTACGGTCGTGCCTTGTGCCTGATATGTCTGTTTTAGTTTTACACTCCTTTTCTGTCTACTTCTAAGATCATTCAGTACAGGATTAGGTTTCAAATAATTTAAGCCATCTTCATATTTAACCTAAGGATTAATATGCCATTTCTTATCAAAATTTGACTTCAAATATCAATTTACAGAAACCAAATTTACATATACATACTAATTTTTAAATTATGAAGTGAAATTTAAGTACCAAATAACATGAAATTTCTTACCAAAGAGCAAGTCAAGTCTACACTAAAATCTCAGGGTCAAACCAACCAACCAACCTCACCACCCAATTACTTAAAGCTCCAAAGTCAACCAACCAACCAACCCATACACCATTGCACACAAGGCAAACCCTTCAAGTTTGTCCTTGTTTAAAAGATGAAAATGTAATTTCATTATTGTATTAATTTATAATTTGTAGAGGGATCGAACTTTAATCCGACCATCTAAGGAAACATTTTAGCTCGGTTTACATATACTAGAGGTTCCTGTACTATTCTGATATTTAATATTTAGTCCATATCTTTTATTTTTACAAAATTAAGTCCTTATACTATCGTTTGTTTGAAAATTTTAATTCCACCTCTAACTTGTACGCAGTTTTACTGTTAGACCTAGCAAATACAAAAAAGGCACAATGTCAAAAAAAGTCCCTAACATTTGATTAAATAGTTACTTTGACCCTATTTTTTTTTGGAGTATTTTGGCCCTCCAACATTTTATTTTGAGGCAAAAAGATCCCTACTTAGATTAAATCATTAGTTAGCAAACATTCAACACTCCAAAATAAGGTAATTTTTACCCTAAAATGAAACGTTAGAGGCCAAAGTACTCAAAAAATAATAATGATCAAAATGACTATTTAGTAACAGTAAGGGCTTTTTTGCCCTAAAGTGAAATATTATGGCCAAATTGCTAAAAAAAATAGAGGCTAAAATGACCATTTTGATAACCATTGGGGCTAAATTTGGCATTATGCCATATAAAAAAAAAGGCAAAAATAGGTTTTATAGTTTTTTATATCTACAATTTTTATCAATTGGACCGTTAAAAATGCAAATATCATATCAGTAATTAACGTAAAATGAAAAAAGGAATAAATTAAAATTTTCAAAAAATTCATTTTTAAAATTTAAAATAGTGTGGGGAGCTCTTAGTAATTTAAACCTTTGCTTTAAAAAAAAGGTGGTTTTGCTTGAGACTCCAAGAGCGAGAGATTTAACCCATTGACCCTTGGGAGAGGGGTCATAGACTTGGGCCTCACGACAATTGACCGAGTTCAATAGCACTCCTCCACCAATAAGCACCCAAATCATCAGCCGCCGGTACTATATATTAGGAACCTACTTCCTCTCCTCTGAAATTTCAATCTGTTCAAGTGATGGGTATAATACGGAGGGCATTCTCTTTAATGGCGGGAACTCTTTTCGGGATCTATCTCGCTCAGAACTATAACGTTCCTAACATCGGAAAGCTTGCAAACACCGGCTTTGCCATGGCCAAACACATCGAAGAAAACTACCGCAAACCTTCCGCTACAACCAAGCCAAACGAAGACGACAGCCAGAGCGCTTCTAAATAATTTATCAACTCTATGGGTTTTTTTTCTTCATGAATCAGATCAATGGAATTGTTGTTCTTGTTGAAACATTCATTGTAGTTTTTAACCTTCACTGGATTACTCCTGTAAAATAGATTTCTTTATGTTTCAACTTGTTATCAAAATTTGGGTTAAACTACATTATTCACCATCCACCTATTATTGCTTTTATTTTAGTACGTGATATAATGATGTAAATTTTGGTGGCCAAAGTATAAGCACAATAAAAGTTAACTGACACAAATAGGCGATTTACCCTTAAGATATTTGAAAATACAAAATCTGGTTCTGGAATGACTTCAAGACGAGCAAACTATTGTATGCCATTAAATATGTTTGCTATTTCATGGATAAACAAACACTTCAACTATGGCCTAAGAGAATCGAAATCTCGTTACAGAAACGGTGAAACCGGGATTCTTAGTACCAGAAGAGGTAAGCTGTCCATCGCTACAGTTAAAATGAGAGAAGCTTATAAAGTAGCGGTGGTCGGTGGTGGCTTTGCAGGGCTAGTCACGGCCAGGGAGCTTCAAAGAGAATGTCATCGAGTCACCGTATTTGAAAAGGCCAACAATGTTGGTGGCATGTGGCTCTATGATTCACGGGTGGACACTGATCTATTAGGCCTTGACCCGAATCGGGAAATAGTTCATAGCAGCCTTTACAGATCACTTAGAGTTAACCTTCCAAGGCAGATTATGGGATTCATGGACTATCCATTTGTGGAGAAAGAAGGTGGGGATCCGAGGAATTTTCCGGGTCCTGAAGAGGTACTCAGGTTTCTTGAGGATTTTGCTCGGGACTTTGGGTTAATGAGGTTGATTCGATTTGGGCATGAAGTGGTTCGGGTGGAGCGAGTTGATGAGGTGAGTCACGAGTGGGTTGTTGAGTATAGGATTCAAGAGAATGAGTCAAGATGGGAATGGAAAGAGGAGGTGTTTGAGGCTGTGGTTATTTGCAATGGTAAACACACTGAGCCAAAAGTTGCAGAATTTTCAGGTATTTCATTGATGCCACCCGGAATTTGCATTAAATCAACCTTAGATACATAAACTGATTCAGATATATGCAATTACTTTCATCATTATTGCTATTTAAAAGCTTCCAAATCCATGAATATATTCTTTCTCTAAGTGGAAGCTTATTGTTTAATCATTTTTGTGGTAATAATTCACAGTTTCTAGTAGGTATAATCATTTTCGTCATATTTTAGGCAGGGATACTTGGCCAGGATTGCAGATGCATAGCCATAACTACCGGACTCCAGAACAATTTGAAAATAAGGTATTTAACCATATAAAACTCAAATGCAGTACCTTTGCTTACTTATAATTACTCTGCAGTTCTAGTATGAAGCCGCATACTTATTTGTATGTTTTAAACTTCTGGATTTTTAGTTTCAGAAACCCTTCAACCAAGAGGTTGCTAAATCTTTATCGGTTGACAGATAGTGGTGCTTATCGGGAATGGATCAAGTGCCAATGACATCTTGAAAGAGATTTCCCCTATTGCAAAACAAGTTCATCAGGCTATTAGAGGGCCTGATTCCCAATGGAAAAGGCTGGATAATCATGATAACGCCTGGCAGCATTCTATGGTTTCTTGTTCATTTTATCAGTTTGGCTCAAAGATAAAACTTTAAGCAGTTCATATTTTTCTGATAGACTGAAATTTATCTGCACAGATTGAATGCGCTCGTAAAGACGGTGTGGTGGTATTCCAAGATGGATCAATTGTTGATGCAGATGCCATTATTCATTGCACCGGGTATTTCCGAAAAATACTTGAATCTTTTTACCTATCCTTTAACAAACCCGAGAAATGCTTCGATCTCTTGCAGGTACAAATTCCATTTCCCATTTCTTAGGTCAAATGGGATAATTACTGTCGACGACAACCGGGTTGGACCTCTGTATAAACATGTATTTTCAACAAGCCTGGCCCCTTGGCTTTCTTTTGTGGGACTACCTTACAAGGCAAGAAATTGCAGTTTAAATCCTGATGCTAGGAATCATCTATCTAAATTTTCCTCGAATGTTGGTTAATTGTCACAGATTTTCAACTTGTCATGTTCCTTAACTGCTTAGCTTCATTTGATCTTATGGTTTTTGGCTTATCTAGACTAATCCTAGGCATTTGCTTAGCCTTGTATTGAATAAGATTTAGTAAATATTTTTTGACTTGCATCTCAAGTTTAACACCAGTATATAGGTGTTCACATAATCAGGCAGTACCCTCTGTAGTGATGGAATTTCAGCCAAAATGGGTGGCAAAAGTTCTGTCCGGCAACGTAAAGCTGCCAACCCGAGTAGAGCTGGCATATTCCGTTGAAGAGCTTTACCGTCAAATGGAGAAGACCGGACGACCGAAACATCTTACTCATACGCTTCAACAGGACTACAAGGTTTCGACTTTCCTAAACCGAATCTCTGTGTCGGATTCTCTTTGCTTATTGTCTTCTTGTTTGTTGGCAGTTTGAATATGAAAGATGGCTGGCCGCTCAGTTGGACATTAAGCCGCCGGAGAGGTGGAAGGAAATAATGTTTTTCTCCATCCAGAAAATAAAATCATATTATGGTGACGAGTATCGAGATGCATGGGATGTCGACAAATGGATACGAGAAGTAGATTCCTCTGATTAAACTCCGCAGATGATAAATCAAATATATAGATCTCATACACAATGCTTGCATATCAAATATAAATAGATATATGCAAAGTTTTGATCTGTATTCTTATTATATTCACCTTATACCATTAAACATGAGGCAATTATTTCTTGTTCTTCTTTTGTTCTCGTTAAAAGTTAATGCTACAATCACTTAGACATTGGCCTACCAAATTCCAAAAACTTTTATTGGAGTTGTTATCGTTTTTTCTTCTTCATAGTAACAAGTGTCGTCGTCTTATTTGGAGTATTAGGACCTGTTAACTGTCACTGATACGTGTGTCACGGTAGTTACTATTAATGTTTTAGCAGTCTAACAATGATTTCAATGAATGTTTATTGATTTTAGTGATCATAAATGAATGTTCTCTAAAACTTCAATGAGTATTAGGGTAATTTATCCATGTTGAAAACGAAATATGGTGAATTAGGCAGCAAACAACTTGTGTATTTATAAATTAATATTGCTATCATTGTTTGCGGAGTATTTGAAGTTTCTTCACTGGGTGTTAATTGTATTTCAACTTGAAGCCTTCGATCGTCATAGTGGTGAAAATGGGACAATCTTATAAGGTAGCGGTCATCGGTGGTGGTTATGCTGGACTAGTTACGGCCAGGGAGCTTCAAAGAGAAGGTCACCATGTCAATGTCTTTGAAAAGGCCAGCAAAGTCGGTGGCACTTGGCTCTATGATCCACGGGTGGAGACCGATCTATTAGGCCTCGACCCGAATCGGGAAATAGTTCATAGCAGCCTGCACGAATCCCTTCGTGTTAATCTTCCTAGGCAGCTCATGGGATTCATTGACTATCCATTTGCAAAGAAAGAAGGCGGTGATCCGAGGCATTTTCCTGGTCATGAAGAGGTGCTCAGGTTTCTTGAGGATTTTGCTCGGGACTTCGGACTGATGGAGTTGATTCGTTTCGGGCATGAAGTGATTAGGGTGGAGCTACTTGATGAGGCGAGACACGATTGGGTTGTTGAGTCTAGGGCTCGAAAAACAGAGTCAAAATGGGAATCCAAAGAGGAAATGTTTGATGCCGTAGTTATTTGCAACGGTAAACATACACAGCCAAGAGTTGCAGAATTTTCAGGTACTTCACAGATACCATTGAAAAGTTGCCTCCCAAAGATTATCATTTTTGCTAGTGACGATATGTTTCCATCAAGTACAATTATCATTTTCTAGTCTGGTTTTAGGTAGGGATACTTGGCCAAGATTACAGCTGCATAGCCATAACTATCGAACTCCAAAACAGTTTGAAAATAAGGTATAAAGATTATAATTACTGTACAATAATATATATGTTTTAAGACTTTAGCAACTCAGAAAAGATAAAAATTGCTGTAAAAATTCTGGGTTCTGGCTTGCAGATTGTGGTGATCATTGGCAACGCAGCAAGTGCCCTTGACATTTTGAAAGAGATCGCCCCTCTTGCAAAGCAAGTTCATCAAGCTGTTAGAGGACCTAATGTCGAGTTTAAAAAACTGGAAAATCGTGATAACGTTTGGAAGCATTCAATGGTTTCTTAAACATTTTATCATTTAATTAAGTTGGTTTAAAGATGATCTTTGAGCTAGTCAATTTTTCTTTTTTCCTTTACAGATTGAATGTGCACATAAAGATGGCAAGGTGGTATTTGAAGATGGATCAATTGTGGATGCAGATGTTATTATTCATTGCACTGGGTATTTCCAAATATCTTTTATTTTACTGCAGAAGCAATCTCATGTCTTAAACACTTTGTTCTTTCAATCCTCTTGCAGGTACAGATATCATTTCCCATTTCTTAGGTCAAATGGAATGGTAACTGTGGATGACAACCGTGTTGGACCACTGTTTCAACATGTCTTTCCACCAAGCTTAGCCCCTTGGCTTTCTTTTGTGGGATTACCTTACCAGGTAAACTTTTGTCTTTCAATCGGTTCTAAATTGTGTTATTGGATGTACGACTTATTTTAATCTTCTTTTAACTATTCTCAAACTGCTTGAGACGGATAAAATAAAACAAAAAACAATTAGTAGAATGTGAATCTTAAGATACTCTTTGTTTAATGTTTTAACATGCTAAATGCCCATGGGTGCTTGTGCAATCAGGCAGCTATGACTGTAGTGATAGAATTACAGTCAAAATGGGTGGCAAAAGTTTTGTCAGGCAAACTAGAGTTGCCTACCCAAGAAGCAATGATGCATTGTGTTGAAGAATTTTACCATGAGATGGAAAAGGATGGATGGCCCAAACATCATACTCATAATCTTCAGTACAAGGAGGTTAGCAGTTTAACAACCAAATCTTCATCACTTAAAATGACTCTGTCCCTTTCTTTCTCTCTCTCTCTTCTTATTGTGTTTGTTTTTGGCAGTTTGAACATATAGGTTGGCTTGTTGCTCAATTTGACATAAAGCCCCCAAATTGGTTGAACAAGGTGACGGCTGCATCCTACTTCAAAGAATTGTTTTCTTACGGTGACAAATTTCGAGATATATGGGATATTAACAAATGGATGCAAGAAATAGATTCTCCTAATTGACTTCAACACACCATAAATCAAATAAAACCATTCCCATAACCAATACCTAGAGTTATTGTATCTTATAAAAAGTCGACTTCTTACTCAAAATGATAAGGTTTAATAAATTTCTTTTGATGTTACGACTTACGAACAACGAACCGCCTACATCGTCACGATTAAAACATTTCACTAGACCATTTATAGTCCAATTGTATGTCATTATAATTAATAAAAATTAAAAACCTAATCCATTTATTGATAAACATATGAATTTGTTTTGTTATTTTTTTGTTGCATATGAACTATTAAAGTGAAAGGTTTCTAAAACTCAGTAAGTATTAATGTAATTTACCCATTTTTTTAAAACAAAATAGGGTTCTCAAATTAGGCCGAAGCAAGCAACTTGTATAAATTAGCATTGATGTGGAGACCGATTAGGCCTTGACGCGAATCGGGAAGAAGCTGATAGTAATCTCCTAAAGATTTTACACCCACTTTCGTTCCAATGTGATGTATTCTTCTTCTACCTCCATTTCTATGTACTTGTATTAATCTAGTTTACTAATTAATATATGTTTTATATTCACGTTTGTTTGGAGGGATACTTAACCAGAATTACTACTACATAGTTATAATCACAATACAATCCTCTACACAATCAGCAATGTTTAAACTTATTATATAAAAAACTTAATCATTATGTCAACATAATTAATGTAAGCGCTAATTTGTATCACAAGTAATAGCATTATTTACAAAATGATATCGGATATTATTGTAATATTTTTTTCTTTCAAACAAATATTTAATCTTCTGTAAAGAAGACGATACTCTATAACAAAATATTATATGATATGAATGTCTAGGGTCCATTAATCAAACAGTTTCTTTACGATCATCGATAATAACCCTATACTTGATTTCAATGGTAAACAAAACACTTATAGTTTGTAAAGTGACTTTTCAATCAGTACAGTCACCCGTAGTAAAAAAGTACCATGGGAGAGATCTCCTCTTATCAATTTCTTAAATAAAATTAAAATCATCGTATCATATAATTCAATATCTAATTATCTATCAATTATATTAACTGTATATAATAAATTTAAGAGTATGTTTATTTCGTTGTAACTGATTTTTTAAAAAATATTTTCCTCATTTTTTCAGTATTTGATAAGCAGAAAACAGATTATTTAATATATTTTATTTTTCTAGTCAACATATTTTTCTTCATATTTTCTGAAAAATGACTTACGGATCAATTTCTACATGCCATTTTCTAAACTTCACTTCAAAATATAAATACTCAAAACAAAGTTATTTAATGTATTTTATGGGCTGTTGAGTCTCGGACTCCAAAAACAGAGTCAAATTGGGAGTCCAAAGAGGAAGTGTTTGACGCTGTAGTTATTTGCAACGGTAAGAACACGGAGCCAAATATCGCAAAGTTTTCAGGTATTTCATTCTACTAAAATGATTTCTTCTTTAACTCCATTCTTTTGCTAGTGCATCATCATTTTCTGGTCTGGTTTTAGGTTGGGATACTTGGCCAAGATTACAGCTGCATAGCCATAACTATCGAACTCCAAAACAGTTTGAAAATAAGGTATAAAGATTATAATCACTGTACAATAACATATATGTTTTAAAACTTTAGCAGCTCAGAAAAGACATAAATTGCTGTAAAAATTCTGGGTTCTGGCTTGCAGATTGTGGTGATCATTGGCAACGCAGCAAGTGCTCTTGACATTTTGAAAGAGATCGCCCCTCTTGCAAAGCAAGTTCATCAAGCTGTTAGAGGACCTAATGTCGAGTTTAAAAAACTGGAAAATCGTGATAACGTTTGGAAGCATTCAATGGTTTCTTAAACATTTTATCATTTAATTAAGTTGGTTTAAAGATGATCTTTGAGCTAGTCAATTTTTCTTTTTTTCCTTTACAGATTGAATGTGCACATAAAGATGGCAAGGTGGTATTTGAAGATGGATCAATTGTGGATGCAGATGTTATTATTCATTGCACTGGGTATTTCCAAATATCTTTTATTTTACTGCAGAAGCAATCTCATGTCTTAAACACTTTGTTCTTTCAATCCTCTTGCAGGTACAGATATCATTTCCCATTTCTTAGGTCAAATGGAATAGTAACTGTGGATGACAACCGTGTTGGACCACTGTTTCAACATGTCTTTCCACCAAGCTTAGCCCCTTGGCTTTCTTTTGTGGGATTACCTTTCCAGGTAAACTTTTGTCTTTCAATTTTCATTACAACATTAAGGAGTATATGTTAGGCTTTTTCCTAGCCGAGTAGCGTATCTAATGGCATCATCGGTTCTAAATTGTGTTATTGGATGTACGACTTATTTTAATCTTCTTTTAACTATTCTCAAACTGCTTGAGACGGATAAAATAAAACGAAAAACAATTAGTAGAATGTGAATCTTAATATGCTAACTGTTTAACGTTTTAACATAATAAATGGGAGCTTGTGCAATCAGGCAGCTATGAGTGTAGTGATAGAATTACAGTCAAAATGGGTTGGCAAAAGTTTTGTCAGGCAAACTAGAGTTGCCTACCCAAGAAGCAATGATGCATTGTGTTGAAGAATTTTACCATGAGATGGAAAAGGACGGATGGCCCAAACATCATACTCATAATCTTCAGTACAAGGAGGTTAGCACTTAAACAACCAAATCTTCATCACTTAAAATGACTCTGTCCCTCTCTCTCTCTCTCTCTTCTTATAGTGTTTGTTTTTGGCAGTTTGAACATATAGGTTGGCTTGTTGCTCAATTGGACATAAAGCCCCCAAATTGGTTGAACAAGGTGACGGCTGCCTCCTACTTCAAAGAATTGTTTTCTTACGGTGACAAATTTCGAGATTTATGGGATATTAACAAATGGATGCAAGGAATGGATTCTCCTAATTGACTTCAACACACCATAAATCAAATAAAACTAATCTCATAAGCAATATCTATTTGTGTGTCATTGAACTTTATGAAAATTAAAGAGTTAATTTGTTATTAAACATATTAATTTGGTCTGCTGATTATCTGATCAATTTTAATGTATAAAAATTGGACAATTTTATGTATAAAAACTGTTACTCTGTTGATTATCTGATTAATTTTAATGTCAAAGTTTATCGATATAATATGATTCAATTATATTTTAATTTTTATAGATTTATTTATAAAGATGTAGATAACTTAATCCGACACTGTTCGAACATAGGATTAAGAAGGAAACCAAACACACTGAACAATTTTGTTCTAATTGATATAATTTCAACCGTTTACATCAGATCTGAAATTTCCACAAATCATAGTATAAAAAAAATATTAAAAGAAAGAGTGGTTGAAACTTGAAAGTTGAAACTATTCCATCCATTTCCTCAACCACTAAATAAAATTTTATTTTATTTTGATTTGATTTGTATTATCCAACACAATAATGTAGCAGATTGTTGACATTGGAATATGGATACCAAATAGAACAAACGCGATATCTCAACTGAAGAGGTGAGCGTTTGATCGTTACAGTGGTGGAAATGGGAGAATCTTATAGGGTAGCGGTCATAGGAGCTGGCGTTGCAGGGCTTGTTACAGCCAGAGAGCTTCAAAGAGAAGGCCACCATGTCACTGTTTTTGAGAAGGACTATAAAGTTGGTGGTATTTGGCTCTATAATCCACTGGTGGAGACCGACCCATTGGGTCTTGATTCGAATCGTGAAATAGTTCATAGTAGCCTGTACAAATCCCTTCGAGTGAATTCTCCTAGGCATACCATGAGCTTCTCGGACTATCCATTTGTGAAGAAAGAAGGTGGGGATCCGAGGACGTTTCCGGGTCACGAAGAGGTGCTCAGGTTTCTCGAGGATTTTGCCAGGGATTTTGGGTTGATGGAGTTGATTCGATTTGGACATGAAGTGATTCAAGTGGAGCTATCTCATGAGGTGACTCACCAGTGGATTGTTGAGTCTAGGGCTCGAAAGACTGAATCAACTTGGGAACAGAAAGAAGTGTTTGAGGCTTTGGTTATTTGCAATGGTAATTTCACTGAGCCAAATATTGCACAATTCCCAGGTATGCTTTACCGATGCCAATTAACTACTTGCATTTGATTATGGAACAAATATGCGACATCACTATTGTTAGTCTATAAAGCTTCAATCTTTTGTTTCTAACAGATAAATATATTTTTTGTCATATTTTAGGTAGAGATACTTGGCCAGGATTGCAAATGCATAGTCATAACTATCGTACTCCTGAACAGTTTAAAAACAAGGTATTGAACCATTTACAATCACCTTGCAGTCCTCTAAATGAATCTGCTACAATTCAATGATTATGGGTTATGGCTGACAGATAGTGGTGCTCATCGGAAAAGGACCAAGTGGCATTGATATTTTGAAAGAGATTGCCCCTCTTGCAAAAGAAGTTCATCAAGCTGTTAGAACACCTGGATTGCAGTCGTTAAGGCTGGAAAATTATAGTAACACATGGCGGCATTCAATGGTTTGTTATACGTTTGATCAATTAATTAAGTTGGTTTGAAGTTAACCTTTAAGCTGGACATTTTCTGCAGATTGAATGTGCTCATGAAGATGGTAGGGTAATATTCCAAGATGGATCAACTGTTGACCCAGATATCATTATTCATTGCACTGGGTATTTCTATTTTATATCCTTTTAGAATAAATATGCTTGCTTTTCAATACTCGATTGAAAAAAAAAATCTTGCAGGTTCAAGTACCATTGTCCATTTCTCAAGTCAAATGGGATAGTTACTGTAGACGACAACCGTGTTAAACCTTTATATAAACATGTGTTTCCACCAAAATTAGCCCCTTGGCTTTCTTTTGTGGGACTAACTTACAGGGTAAATTTTTTTTACAACTTTTAGTTGATCCTCTGGGTTTTGGCTTATCTTATAGAAAAGATATGAACATAGGTTTTTACACCATCAGGCAGTGGTCTTTAGAGTGATGGAACTTCAAGCGAAATGGGTGGCAAAAGTTTTGTCTGGCACGGTGGAGCTGCCGCCCCAAGAAGCAATGGCATGTTCTGTTGAAGAATTTTACAGTGAGATGGAGAATACCGGATGGCCCAAGCATCATACACATAGCCTTCAGAATGACGAGGTTACCACTTCCGACAACCAAGTTAACTGATCTGTCTGTCTCTGTTTCTGTCTGCTTAGTTTTGTTTCTGTGATGGCAGGTTGAATATGTAAGTTGGATTGCAGCTCAGTTAGACATAAAGGTTCCCAAAACGTGGAAGGAAATAACGTTTCAGTCGATGTTGAAATGGGTATTTTATTATGGTGAAAACTATCGGGATACATGGGATGTTGACAAATGGATTCAAGAAATAGATTCCTCCGATTAACTTCCGCATACCATAAATCCTATGTATCAATCCCATAAACAATGCTTGAATGTCAAATGTATATTACGAAGTTCTGTAATCATAAATTGACCCTTTATCATTTGAAAGTGTGACATTATTCCCTGTTTTTGGTCTTTCACTAGTTTCAACCAAAATAAGCTACAATCTGAGGAAAATGTGATACTTTCTATCTCACAAAAGAAATGAGGGAAGAATTGTGTAACACCCCAATTTATGAGTTAAAATCTTATGATATTTGTATAAGAAGTCTAATTAAAATTCTGGTTATCAAGGATTTTTTTTAAAAGATTGAGGACTTTAAGTGTAATTGTGTCCTTCGTTGGTTTTAGTTAATTATAGCATTCACATGGTTTGTTCAGACTTTGGTTGATGTGAATTTTTTTATATGTATATATGATGTATAATTTCAACTCCCCAAATAATAAATCATATCTTATGGTACCATAGTGGCCTAGTGGGTCCTGTAAATTAAATTTATTTTGTCTGCAATCTTCTTTGTTATCTCATAAAATACTAGTACCAATCATTTATATTACAGAGCATTCATAATCAACCAAAGCCAACCCTACTTTAAGATATGGAATTCCTCATCATTTTTCTTTCTCTTGCTTTCTTGGGATCGATCCTATGTTTGTTTCATGAGTTGGTGATGAAGTCGATGAAACTTCGAGCAAGATTAAGTGAACAAGGCATCAAAGGAGCGCCTCTGACTATGCTTTTTGGAAACATAAGAGAGATTAAAAAAAAAACACAATCCGCCGTTGTTAGGGATCCTAGCCGTCGTCCACTCACAACTACGTCGCGCTTCTCTTTCTTTTCCTCCAGAAATAGAGGAAACAGTACAGGGAAGTATTATTGTTTGTGAATCAACCTGATGATGTGAAAGAGATTACAACATGCACGTCCTTAGCCTTGGGGAAGCCTTTCTATCAGCAAAAAGAGTTTGGTACTTTGCTTGGTCAGGGAATTCTAACTTCTAATGGGAGCACGAACCAAAGGCGAGAGGAACGCTATGGCCTTCGGTTTGAACCATTGAAAGAATTCCATAGATACAATGTTCTTTGGACAGCCAATAACATCATGGGATGTGCGTGCTAGGGAGGCAAGGAGGGAAGCCATCGCCGCTTATCAATTATGCGTGGTTTGGTCTCGTCGCTCGGAATCTCCACCGGCTTTCTCCTTCTCCTAGCTGGTTTAGTGCTTATCATTTAGCTATCTCAACCAAGGTTTGGGAGTTGGTAATGGAAAATAAATATGAATGTAAATGGGTATAGCATGCAAAAAGGAGTAAATCACAAGGTATGCCATCCAAGTTTGGTGAGATATTTACCTTGTCTCTTAGTTTTCAAGTGGTTATAGTTATGACATAATAGTTTTTAATTTTACCAATTGAGTCCTCAAATTATTATTTAGATTCTAATTAGTTATTTTTATGGCGAGGGAAATTATTTGGATACGAGTTAGTAATTTTGATGGCCTGGATCGTGAGGAAAATATTGGAAGTTGAATTAAAGATCGAGGGAGTTCAAATGGAATTTATATGGTCGATTAATATGGCACGAAAATTGAGGTAATACTTTACTACCTCTTTATGCTTTATAGAATATGTTGGTATTGGTAAATGCATGAATGAAAATGTTTGGGCTCATACGTGTAATTAATGAAGTTCTACCTCGATACGAATGCGGTAGAAAGTAGGTAACTGAATTTGACTCAGATTATTATTATAAGAATTGGAGGACAGTTGGAATTAAATTACATGTTCTGAAATTAAGTGATAAATGAATCAACCATGGATATGTAGATTATAATTTATCTCATTAAAGGTAATTTGATGATAAATTATGAGAATATATCGATTAGGTAAAATTATAAAAATACCCATAGATTGTAAAATGATAAGAATTGTCCCTGTGAGTTGATTAATAACTCTGAAAAGACTTATTGATCTGATAAAACTACATATGTGTATAAGGAATGCTAGTTTGCTTAGAAAATTTGGATAATCAGTTTTAACTCCAAGAGGCTTTGTGCAATATACTAGAAGTCTGTTAAGGGAATCATTTCAAGATCAGAGAATGTTCAAGAAAGCAATAAATCATAGGATCTCTAAATTATATTATTTTTTTTAAGAGTTAATACCGAAATTATCTGGTTAAGAAATTACGAAAATGCCTTTGAGAGATAAAATAGTCCGAATTGACCCTGTATGAAAAAGTACTTTGAGGATTTGTACTTAACTCGATTAAGTAAGAATTTAATTGTTAAGATCCTGTCTTTGTACAGAAAAAATTATAATATTCCGTTTGTAAAATCTGAGAAGACAATTAACCCGAAAATATTCGAATAAGGAGTAAATACTTGAAGAGTAATTTATCGGAGGTATTCTGCTGTCAGAATTGTTCGAAAGGACTGAAGACCGGATTGAAGGAAATGATTGAAATATTATAGAATTGTAAAATGACCAAAATACCCCTGGAATGGAAATGACTTAAGAATGTCACCAAGCTCAGAAATGAATGGATATACTCAAGCTTTGAAATGAATAGAAAAATATTGAGCACTAAAATGACCAAAATACCCTATTGGCCTAGAATAAGTAAATGTCTTGGATTAATTAAGGAATCCAAATAAACATGGATGTTGTACTGCTCTTAAAAGTTATGGAACGCAGTTTAAGTGATCAACCAACGTTAGTGTATATCATTACCTGAATGATATAAGTACCACTTGAATGTTTGTTCATCTTCTCAAATTTGGATAGATGATAATTCTGGAAGTACTTGGCTCAGCTCAACTCTAGAGCGCATACAATACTAATAAGTGGGTATTCGTGAGTCAAATCAACCACGAATACCAGAAGGACTTTATTATATGAATAAATTGAACTGAAATGAAGTACAACGTGTATTTGAAATTCAGAAACGTCTGAATTATTCTAGAAAACTTTAAAGTAATCGGGATAGACTTGCTTACCAAACGAACTAAGTAACAACAATGACTAAGGATTAATAGGTGATTTGATGAGTTTGGAAATACTGTTGAACTTACATTATGAATTGTCATTATGGGTTATGAGCCATGGATCAAGTACGTCAGTATTTCCTGACATTGTTGAAACGTGGAAATGAAATAAAGACCGTTGGAAGATTTATTCAGTGATGATTATGGGGATGATCTATGGATCTGCATTATGGTATTAAAGAGTGAATACACTGGAAGGATAATGAATTGACTTGTTGACATGCATCCGTTTGAGAGTTGTGTAACTCGAGTTGTTTGATAATATGATCGATAGTCGTAGATTGTAAATGACTTGAATCTTTGATTCTATATTTCATCTAAAATCACTTCGGTCATGTTTGAAAAAAAAACAAGTAACGCAGAAGGAAAAGATTCTGAATATCTCATTTGGTTCAACTGGACTGAAATCCTATGAATTCAAAGTATATTCCTGAATACCCCTGATTGTTTGGGTAATGGAATCACTCGCAGTAAATCTGAATTTAGAATTATTATGTATAAAGGTTCCTGAACGTTTTCCTAATGCACACGAAAATATAGTGGGATTCTAATATATCAACCTTAAATGTCTGGCTAGATCGGTTAGTAATCGATTCTCCTCAATAGGACCTTATTCCTGGAATTCGATCAAATTTCATCAGTTTCATGTTATCCAAAATGATAACTACAATGGCCTCTGAAAATACTTGGATTCTCTAGTGTGTTCCCTACTTATTACTGAACTGTTTTATTGGTTTTAATATATGGTACACCGAATTCATTGGTTATTGTTTTATGGATGCACCAATTTAATGTGACAATTTATAGAATATGGCTACTATCTAATTTTTGTTTTGAAATGGTATATGATTACCATGTTTTTGGATTCATGGAATTTATGTCACGGTGCAATTGAATTTTGGAATTGAATTTCGATGGAATAGCTCTGATCAAGCTAAATGGGCCTAATGTGACTCTTGAGGGCCCCAAGATGTTTCATTAGGTCGGCTTTCCTTTGTTGTGTGCTTAGGGTAAGCTATATGGACTTATTGACTTGGGCTTAAGGATACAAGCTTCATAGCCTATCCTTAAGTCGGCTTTCTTTTTGCTATGTGCATAAAGTAAGCTATATGGAAAATAATTTTGGGAACTACTGATGGTGTACCAAAAAAGGGTTTAAACTATGATTTTCAAAAGTTAAACTCTTTTACGAAATTGTGAGATTTACTGGACTATGATTTGTACCTATTATGATTTTATTATACTATTGGAACACACTAGACATCTTATTCGATCTCCTGAAAATGTCATACTTTGAAAGGTTTCTTATGAATTGAGATTCATGGTTTCTACTCGATGAACTTCTAAGGGAACCCCAAATTATTCTGCAAACTGGTATACGTATGATTCAATAAGGAAATTATATGGCTTTCCATTTATCTACATGTCATGTAGCATCATTTGGTAGTTCTTTATTACTGAGCTTTCCAAAGCTCACTCTATCACTCATATTTTCAGGTTAAAACAATTGTACCAGTGCATCTATCGACTTCAGTAAGGGAGTTTTTCCGGCGTGGTTGCAGAGTATGGTACTTGTGATTAGGGGGCATGTAATTGTATTTTGTTTTATATACGAGTCTGAAAATATGTTTTATTTCTGAATGTTGTTAAAGCAATTATGAGTTCCATGTTTTAATAAAAGTTTTAAATTTTCTACTATTTTTACAATGGGTCGCTACGGTGACCCTAATGTGACACTCCAGATCGGATCAGGATATCTGCATCGGTCTGAGGGGGTTACATTTAGTGGTATCAGTGCCATAGTTGAGTCAGATTTTTCAAGATAGACCGACCGGTCGAATTTTAAAAAGATGTATGATCATTATATGCCCCTAGACTACAATCGTACTTCTCTGAGCCGAAACTCCAAAGTTGAGTCCCTATTTGTAATGAGCAAACCTAAGTTTTCACCAGTCAGAACTCTATTTCTTTATAAAGGAATAC